AGAGCCTGTGCCAACCCCAGCTGTGTCTGGAGGGGTCCAGCACAGCAGCTCGGGGTCTTGCTGGAGATGCAGCTGTTGTACCAAAGGCTTGCTCTCTCCTCTGGCTTCTTTTGGAACAATATTTATTTAGTTTTGATTATTATTTTTTTTTAATCAGACTGCAAAATAAAGCGCAGCTTCCCTGAGGCAGACACGTGGGATAACGCACCACGGAGCAGCCCGGAGTGTGTGGCCTCCTCCTCTGTACCTGCTTCCCCTGCCCAGCTGTAACCAAGAGGGGTGAATAAATAGTGTTTTTACTGAATGCTAGCTCAGAGGTTTTTTTCCCCTTAGGATTTGCTCCGAGCAGAGTTGCGTGGTGGAAGTCAGTGCTCCTTCCTTTGTTGCTTGGTGTTGCCCTCCGTGTGCTGGGACTTTCTCAGAGAAGCTGATTTCTGTTGTTAAAAAATAGCGTTTTGTTACAGATGCACCACATTGGAGACATCACACCGACATCGGGGGCACCTGCCTATGGCTGTTGGATAGGGAGGGGCACTGGGAAACTGGGAGGAGGCGAATAAAGTGGATAATTTGTGTCAGAAATAGCCCACTGCAGTGTTTCTGAGGGATTGCCAGCGACTGGAGAGACATTTCTGAGAGGGAAAGTTCCTGCTGCACACACTCTCCCCTCTCCTGCTTTGTTAGTAGGGATTTTCTATGGAAGCAGAGTCTTTGTTCCTTCCCAGTGCTCCTGGTCAGCCTCCTTTGCTAGGAAATGAGCAGGAACAGCAGATTTTAGGAAACAAAGGTCGTCTTTGCATGTAAATGCTCCTGAAGAATGGCTGCCACCCAGGAGACAAAGCAAAGCTCTTTGCACAGAGAAATGCAGGTCCTGGCTTCAATGCCATCCCTTCTGCAGTGCTGGGAGGCTGACAGGGTCCTGTTCCTCCCAAAGCCACCCAGGCCTGTGGGGAGAACCACAGGCTGGGGCCCACAGAGATTGCAGGTGGGTGAACCTGGCGCTATTTTGTTATTTGATGAGACTGTACAATAGGAGTTTGACTGGGAGCAGCTTCCAGGTTGGACCTGGAAGGGGGGGCTAGTTGTGTGTTGTTGCCTCCTTTCTGGCTGTCTTTGTTTTCAGTCTTCCCTTGCTGTCAATAAAAGTTCTACTTTTGGGAAGCTTGTCCCCATGCCCCGCCTCCGTGCTTCCTGCCTGGATGCTGTGGCTGCCACAGGGGCTTTGCATCCAGAGAAGAAGCAATGCCTTCCTCCACCCTTGGTATTCCCCCCCGGACTCGTGTGACCCCCTCATTTCAGGGATTTGGGATTGCACTGCACGCTCATCACTGTGGGGTTTGCTGTCTGCTTGGCTCCTGGCGCTCCGGCCTTTTCCAAGTCTGGAATTTGCTGCTGGCACAGGAAGATCTTTCCAGCACCTCACCAGGATCCTGGGCTGAGCCACGCTCCGCACTTGGGAGGGGTTGGTGGCAATGCCCTGTTCCCTGCTCCTCGCTACAGGAGCCCAGACGGGATCCCCACCCATCAGGAAGGGACACAGGCAGCACTCCCTTCTCCAGCACTTCCCAGGCAGCATCTGCCTTTGTCCCAGGGCTGGAAAAACATCTATTGTCCCACTCTAAGGAGCTTTGCAGGCATTTGAGGAGCCTTCAGGGATGGCTAAGACCCAAAGGAAGGGAGAAGGAGTTGATGCTGGTGTGGGAGCATGGGAAAGGCAAGGGGTTAAGAGGATGAGAGAGCTTGGGTGGTGCAATCCAGAGAACTTCCAGAGAAAATTACATGCCTGGGGAGCTGGAATTTAACCCTGTAGCAGGGGAGATAAAGCTGGGGCTCAGCCCTGTTGGCAGCATGTGGCCAAGAGCTGCGTCCCCAGTGCCAGGACAATGACATGAACTGAGGGGAGCAGTGAGGAACAGCTCAAACCCCTGGATACCAACCCAGCTCTAGGTGTTCCCCTCCCACGGGCTCAGCCCTGGCATTTCCCCTGGATACTTCCCCTGGTGCCATCCTTTCCTCCAGAGACAAAGCTGAGGCTGCTTGAGCAGATATAAATTTATTTCACAGCCAGGACCCACGCAGGGCTCAGGGGGCACTCAGAGCTCACGCTGGCTCAGCCTCAGTTCTGCTTTTCAGCCTCTTCTTTCTGTTCCTCTCCTTCCTCCTCCTCTTCCCACTGGTGGCGGGGACCAGGGAGGGAGTGGCTGGCAGTGGCTCCCTGCCCAAGCTCTCCCGTGCCGGGGTATCACTCAGGATGGTGTTGGATGCTTCCCCCAAGGACGGCAGCAGGGCCCAGGGATCAGCGGGGGCAGCAGCTGCAGGATGGCTCCATGCCCCCTTTTCAGAAGAGCCTTTCTTTTTCAGACCTTTCCCCTTATCTTTCTTTCTCTTCCTCTCTTTCTTGACTGCTTTGGGGGCTGTCCCAGTGTGATGATCCACTGGGAGGGCTCCTCCCCCTGTGCTGCCCCACGGGGGGCTCAGGGGGACTCCCCTGGGCCTGGCTGCCCGATCAATGAGCTCCCCCCCAAATTCATACAGCACCGGCTCTCGGGGCACCGCCACGGCCACCGTGTTGTACGTCTTGCACCTGCCAAAATTGAGGAGCACCACAGGGTGGGACAAGCCCGGGCAGGGGGATGGTCCCCAGGGCAGGGGGGCACTCACCAGACATAGAGATAGGGCTCCACACACTCCTCCCTGTAGGTGAACTCGAAGCACGGCACCTGGATGACGTTGAAGAAGGCCTGGCCCACCACCCGTGAAGCTGTGTCGTTCACCCGCCGCAGGCACTCCTTCAACCTGCCCCAGGGCAGAGCCGGGCTCAGGGGGCTGCCACGCCCTGGGGGGATGCCAGGGTGCCCTAGGGCAGGTTTGGGGAGGCTCACCTGTGGTCGCAGTCACAGTGGCTGATGGTGTGCCAGCGCAGGTTGCGGTACCCGTAGCGGGAGGTGAAGGGGTGGATGATGTGCTGGCAGTGGTCGTGGTCCCGGCAGCACCGGTCCGTGTCCTGGTGCTCCCCTGCAGGGAAACGTGGGGTACAGGCAGGGCTGGGGGGGCCCCACATACAGGAGCTAGGGTTGAGCTAGGCTGGGACTAGGATCAGGATTAGAGTGGACTGACACATGCCTGGAGTCATACTGGGGTAGGTAAGGATGGATGGGGAGGGGCTCAACTGGATCCGCACTTGTGTGGGAACAAGGCTGGCACTGGGATGGGGACTGGGCTGGACCACACTGGGGTGAGACTAGGCTGGGGTCCTGGACCACAAGAGGGTTTAGGCTGGGATCAGGATAGCAACAGGGAGTGGGCCAGTATTGGGCTGGGGACTGGAATGGCAGCAGGATGGACCACAGAGGAGGCTGGGGACAGAGGGTGGATCAAGAGTGGACCAGCACCAGAAAGGATTGTGACAGGGACTAGACAGAGATGAACTGGGACAGGACTGGTGCTTGGCTGGGGACTGAAGTAGGACAGACAGGGATTGAGCATGGGAACAGGGGCTGGACCAGACCAGACTGGACTGGATTAGGATTGGTGGGGGCTGACCCAGCACTGGACTGGGCTGGGATGGAGCAGCACTGGGTTGGGGATGGGATGGGATGGGATGGGATGGGGTCAAGGAATTTGAGGTACAGAATTGGAAGGGACGGAAGGGAGAGTAGGATGGGATGAGAAGGGGTGGGACGAGATGGGATGGGAAGATACATGTAGCAGCATCCCTGCCGCCCTTACCCAGCTGCTCGTAGCTGTCCGCGTTGCTGCCCGCACCACACCACAGCGTCCCGGGGTAGGTGAGCCCGCGGCGGGCGCGGGGCCGTCCCGGCGGGGCCGCTCCGGGAGCAGGTGGCAGCAGGAGCAGTAGCAAGAGGAGAAGGAGGAGGAGGAGGCGGCAGAGCAGCCCCGGGGCGCACATGGCACCGCTCCGCTCGCCGCCGTGGAGCCGCCTTATAGAGAGGCGCAGCCCGCCCACTCGGGGCTGCCCGGCATGGCTTGGCACGGCCCGGCACCGTGCGGAGGGTCCCGCAGAGCCGGGGTGGTGCTGCTGCCGCTGCCGGGGCACGTCCCGAGCCGGCAGCCCGCGGGGAAGGGTCACCCCTCCCGGTGGGACCGGCCCCGTTGCTGTGGCAGCCGGTGGGGTGATGTGCCGGGGCCGGTAACGAGCCGGCCACAAACCCCCGCCCCGTGACGCGCCGGCCCCCGCACAGCCCCCGGCCCCGGAGCGGCCCCCGACGGGAGAACGATGCTCCCTGCGTCCCAGTCCATGGATGCTCTGTGCAGCCCTGGATCCCAGCCCACAGATGCTTCCTGCATCCCCGTGTCCTTTCCCGTGGATGCTCCCCACATCTGCACATCCCATCCCATGAATGCCTGCTCCATCCCCACATCCCATCCCATGGACGTTCCCTGTGGCACTGCATCCCATCCTGCAGAAATGCCTTTTACGGGACAGCCCAGAGCCCGGTGCCCAGCTGGGCTCGCAGCCCACAGCAGCATTCCCAGAGCGCTGCCAGGGCTGTCCCCTCTGCCCAGCTCCTGTCCTTGGAGCCCATTGACAGTCAGGACACAGCCCTGGCTCACTGTGGGAGCCAGAGCTCAGCAGGGCAGGACAATGCCTGGGCACCCCAATGTGGATGTGCATGGACTCCAAAAACCCCTGCCCTGCCCAAGGCCACCCAAAGCTGCAGAACATCCCCCGAGCATCACCCTGTGAGCATCACCCTGTGAGCATCACCCTGGCTCACTGACCCTTGCCCCACAGGGTGCCACCCCACTGTGCCACCCGTGCCATGCCCTGGCACTGCTGGCACAGACAGCTGGTGCTGGGGACACTCACTTGGGGTGCAAACACCACAGCACTGCCTGCCTGGGACAGCAGAGCCGTTGGGGGACATCACTGGCCCATGGGAAGGGTTCCTGCCTGGCACTGTCCCAGTGTCCAGCTGGCCGAGGGTGCTGGCCCAGTGCCACAGGGGCTGCCCCTGCCCAGCTGTCGCTGTCTGTGACGCTCTGTGACGGTCCTGCTCGGCTCAGCCCGGCCACCAGCACCCAGGTATGGAGCTGGAACAGGAACCCTGGGCCCTGGGGTGACACATGTGGGTGTGGGTGGGGGGCACCAGGCCACGGGGAGCCCAGTGGAGGCTGGAGGTGGGAAGTCTGACCCCCCCCCTTCATGCTCAGTGCTTGCAGCGCCTGCAGTCCCCACACATGGACCTGTGCCACGTCCCTGCCACCCAGGAGAAGGGCTGGTACCTGGCACTGATGGCCCCCAACATCAAGGGTCCCAACTATGCCTGGCTGGACCCCTCCCGGCTCTACTGCCACCCGCAAGTACCCAGTGCCTGGGGGGGATGGCACCCACAGGGGTGGGCTACATCTCCACAGGGCTGCTGGGGCACCCAGCTGTGGGTGTCCATGGTGGGCTGCAGGCACCCAGCACCTCCACTCTTCCCCCAGGGCTTGCAGGACTGCGTGGCCGACCTGCTGCAGCCTTTCCAGGGAGATTCCATCGACATGGTGGCCGGCATCGATGCCATGGGCTTCATCCTGGGTGAGGGGACACGGGACACAGGTGAGTGTGGGTTCTCTGTCCCTTGGTCCTGGGGGTCCTGACAGTGCTGTCCCCACCTCCAGGTGCTGCAGCCGCTGCCACACTGCAGAAAGGCTTCCTGGCCATCCGCAAAGCCGGGCACCTCTGTGTGCAGACAGCGGCACAGCCCTACACCGACTACTCGGGCCGGGAGAAGGTGATGGAGGTCCGCACCGATGCCATCTTGCCGGGTGAGCCCACGGGGTGCTCCCCTTTTGGGAGGGCTGCCAGTGTGAGCACAGGGCACTCATCCACAGCCTCACCCCCTCCAGGTCTGCGCATCCTTCTCGTGGACCAGTGGGTTGAAACTGGGGGCACCATGAGAGCGGCCATCGAGCTGGTGGAGCGGCTGGGTGGGGTCGTGGCAGGTAGGAGAGGGCACCCCAGGGTGCACCCGTGGGACCACCATTCCCATAGGCTGTGGTGGCCAGTGCTGAGCCCACTGTGTGACCCCACAGGTGTTGCTGCCATCTGCATGGAGAACAGCGAGGGAGGGAAGTGGATCCAGGAGCGCTACAAGTGCTCCCACTGTGTCCCCCCCAGCTTGCAGCCCCACTTTGACCAGCACAAGTTTGGCTGGGCCTGATGTGGGACTGGCACCTTGTGTGTCCCCTGCATCCCCCCGAGGGACACAGGGCTGCTGGCTCTGCAGGATAGGGATGCTCCTTGGTGGAAGAAGGAACCCGTCCTCAGCGGCAGCCATCCATCCTCCTGCTTGCCTATGAGCCTGGGGACTGCACCCAGGGACAGGGAGACCCACAAGCAGCCCCAGCCCCATGCCTTTCTTACAAAGCATAAAAAAGGTTTAATTAAGACAAAAGGGAGCCTGAGGGCATCTTCCCCCTGCAGCAGTACCTGGGTTTGCATAGCTACAGGAGCCACACACGTGCTCCTGCCCGCCCTGGACAGGGGTGCCCAGGCAGGCAAGGGGCCAGGGGAGGCTGAGGGAGGCAGGGACGTCTCCTCGGGGCCGGCCGGGGTCGCCCCTCTTTGGTGTGAGCATGGAGGGGACTGGGGCTGTCCCCTCACTGGCAGCACTTGGGTTTCTTGCGGGGCATTGACAGGTACAGGTCGCTCTCCTTGCTGCTGATCCCTGAGGGACAAAAGGAAGAGGGTTGGTGGGCGGGTGGGGGGACAAGGGGGACACCCATGGAGGGCTGGCCAGGGCTACTCACGCACGGTGTCGCCGATCCTGCGGGTGTTGCTGCCGCGCTCCAGCTCGGCCACCACGCTGCTCTCAAAGGTCAGGGCTGCCACTCGGAAGAAGAAATCCCGCACATTCTCCCCTGCCCCATGGGAAGACACCCCCTGAGTGTCCCCTGACCTGGCTGACGCTGGGATCTGCATCCTCCCACCCAGCTGGGACTCACCAGTGAGTGAGGAGACAGCCCAGTACTCTGCCTGCATCTCCTGAGCCACCTTGAGAGCGTCCTTCTCCATCAGGCTGTACTGTGCTGGCGTCTGCCAACCGAGCCGGGCATGGGTGGGTGACAGGGACAGCCAGGGCACAGTTTGCCCACAGGGAGAGGGACACACTCACGCTCAGATCCTTCTTGGAGCCCACCAAGAAGAGGATCACGTTGGATGGGTCGTTCTCCTTCAGGGCATCAGCCAGCCACTGCCTGTGGGAGCCACTGTCACCAGCTGCTGGCCGAGCACTGCTCTTGTGTTCACACACCACAGCAGCCCCACAGCCCCTCTCTGTTCAGCCCTCAAGGCCCCCACGCTCATCCCTGGTCCCACCCCTGGGCCATGTGTCACCTACCGTGTATGCTCCAGGGACCCCACATCGTTGACATCGAAGACAATCACGATGGCTGGGGAAGGAAGGAGGGGTGAAATAGGGACAGTGGGCAGTTGGGATGCAGTGGGGATGGAGACAGGGACAGTGGGCAGTTGGGATGCAGTGGGGATGGGGACAGGGACAGTGGGCAGTTGGGATGCAGTGGGGATGGGGACAGGGACAGTGGGCAGTTGGGATGCAGTGGGGATGGGGACAGGGACAGTGGGCAGTTGGGATGCAGTGGGGAGCTCACCCTGTGCTCCCCGGTAGTAGGTGGAGGCGATGCACTTGAAACGTTCCTGGCCGGCCGTGTCCCACCTAGGGGGGGGGTGGTGTGGGAGGTGAGGAGGGGTTGCAGGGGTGTGTGGGGTGTGTGGGGTGTGTGGGGAGGGGGCTGGCACCTACTCACAGCTGCAAGCTGAAGGGCACACCCAGCACCTCAAACCGCTCCATCTCGAAATCCACCCCGATGGTCGCCTTGTAGTTCTTATCAAAAGTGTCCTTGCAAAACCTGCGGGGGGGTGATGGGGGGTATCAACATCCCCTGAACACCCATCCCAACCCCTTGAGGGCTCAGTGCCCCCCGCCCTGGGGGTGCCCAGCACCAGAGTCTGGCTGGAGCCAGGCTCAGCCCAAGGTGCTGCTGCCCTTTGGGGGACAGGGGTCACTCCCTCCACTCGCCATCCCCCTCCAAGCCTCCCCGGGGGTCCCGTTACCGGTTGATCAGGCAGGTCTTCCCCACCGAGAGGTCACCCACCACGATGATCTTGGAGATCTTGAACCTGCAGCGAGGGGGACGCGCGGCTCAGCAGGGTGGGGGGCACCCCCCGGCTGAGCCCGGGAGCGGAGGGGCTCGTGGGGTGGGCGGCATCACCCCACGGCCCCTCGTGTCCGCAGCGCTCCGCATCCCGGCGCTGCCGCATCCCATGCCGGTACCCCCGTGTCCGCCCCGGGCTCCCCCCGTGTCCCCCCCGCGCCGCATTCCAGGGCCGTGACGCAGGGCTCGGCATCGCGCAGCGCCCGCAGCCACGCGGCGCCCACGCTGCGGACCCCCACCCGCGGCTGGCGGGCCCCTTGTCACCCCCCCATCCCAACATGGGGACCCCAAAGCACGCCGGACTGACCCCACAGTGCCCGTCCGCTGCTCCTGGCAGGCGCTGGCCACCGTGGGGTGGAAGGCGGGGCGGGTGTGCAGGGCGGCCTCCTTCCGAAAACACTGTGAGGGGGACAAAGAGGAACGAGCGGGGTGACCATGAGGCTCGGCGGGGTCACCCCCGCGCTGGTGTGGCCCCCTGCTCACCGGGGGCAGGTCGGCGATGACCCTGTCCCTGCGGACCGGAGCCAGCACGTTCATGGTCCGTGTGTGGCTGGGTGAGCAGGGATGGGATGAGGGTCCCCGCGAGGTCTGGGGACAGAGAGAGCAAGGAGTGGCGATGTCCCCACGTCACAGCTGTCCCCATGAGCAGCATTCTGGAACATGGTTGTCCCCCGTATCCCCCAGGTGGGGCTGTCCTCTTATCCCAACAATCTCCACTTTGCCAGGACATGGTCTCTGTGTCCCTATTCCCCGCGTCACTAAGGATGGCTACCACCTCAAGCCCCCTGACTGTGGCTGTCCTCACACCCTGGGGCACAGCTGTCGCCGTGTCCCAGCCATCCCCACATTCCGAGTGTGCCACCCCAGTGTATCACTGTCTCCCTGCCCTCAGGTGTGCCTGTCCCACAGCCCGGGACACAGCTGTCCCCGCGTCTCACCACCCCCACATTCCCACACCCCCGGGTACCACTGTCCCCATGTTCCATCCATTCCCGTGTCCCCGCTGTCCACGTGCCCCGCAATGTATCTGCTCCCAGCTCCCACCCATCCCCATCTCCGTGTGCCACCGCTCCCCCCGCGTCCCTCCCCGTCCCGTGTCCGCCGTGCACAGACCCCGCTGCCCCCTCGCCTCAACCCACTCCAAGATCAAGCTCTCCCCGCGTCCTCCCTGTCCCCACGGTGAGGGAATGAAGTAGGGTGTCCCCGTTACCGCGAACCTCGCAGCGCCGGTAGCGGGGCTCGGTGCTTCACGCCCAGTCCCGGAGTAACCGGCGTCCTGGCCCCTCCCACGCTCTTGTTCGGGGGTGTGGGAGGGGCCAGGACGCCGGTTACTCCGGGACTGGGCTATTGTGCTGCCACCACCTCGACGGGACCCCGGTAATCCCCCGCCACCCTGAGGCTCACCCCTGTCCCGGACCGCCACGACGGCGGGAAGGGACAGCAGAGTGCCAGACTACAACTCCCATGACGCTTTACGGCGCGCGGGACACCGCTGCGCGTGCGCAGACGAGTCCGATAATGAGTACTACCACTACCGGCATGCTTCGAAGTTGTCTCGCGAGTTGAGGGGGCGGGCTAACGGGGATTCTGTTTTGCTCCCGCGAGATTTGGGGGTAATAAGCCCGTGCGCCGAGGCCTGGGGGACCCCTTTCGGCTTCTGCCTGGCCAAGATGGCGCCCAAGGCGAAGAAGGAGGGTGAGGGCTCGGGGTGCTGGGTCCGTATTGGGGGCGTGGGACGGCGTGTGGGACCCCGCGGGGTGTTGGTGTATGTGGGGTGGGGGACGGGCTGAGCGAAGCGGGGAGTTAGGCAGGGTTCCAGCGCTTTGTTGGGCGCGGGCACGTGGAGGTGGCGGGCCGGGCCGGCCGGGTTGTCTGACGGGGGTGGGGGATGTTCCCATCTCGATGCTGGGAATCGTGCGTGGCGAGGGAATAAGTGCGTTTTCCCACATGGAGGCGGGAGACTTTTACTTCGGTTGGGCGTTTTGGGGTTCCTCTTGGTTGGATGAGAGAGCGTGGGCCGCTGGGTGAGGTCCTGCTCATTGACCAGGGGAAGCCGTGCCCGGTTGGGGAGCACATCCTGACCTTCCAGATCCTTGTGGAGATATTTGTAGTGCTGACTGAGCTCTCCTCACAGCTGTGCCTCCGAAGACAGAGGCGAAGGCAAAGGCGTTGAAGGCCAAGAAGGCCGTCCTGAAGGGGGTCCACAGCCACAAGAAGAAGAAGATCCGCACGTCGCCCACTTTTCGCAGGCCCAAGACGCTGCGGCTACGGAGGCAGCCCAAATACCCCCGGAAGAGCGCCCCACGGAGAAACAAGTGCGTTTGTTTCCCTTGCTGGGGGGTTTGGGGGGTGGGAGCAGCCTCATGAATGGGCTGGTGTGGGGACCTGGTGGTTTGGGATGCAGGTGATGATTTTAAGCGACCAAAGCCTGAGAGTTTGTGATTGTAACCTTAGGTGACTGATGCACCCCAAAGAAAGCCCCTGAAGTTCAGGGGACCACCTGTCAGCCCTCTTTTAATCATAGGACCTCTCTTTCAGGCTGGACCATTATGCCATTATCAAGTTTCCTCTGACCACAGAATCAGCGATGAAGAAGATTGAGGATAACAACACTCTAGTGTTCATCGTGGATGTCAAGGCAAACAAGCACCAGATCAAACAGGCCGTCAAGAAGCTGTACGATATCGATGTGGCCAAGGTCAACACGTTGATTAGGTGAGAAGGGGGAGGAGAATAAGTCCCTGGTGGGTGTGAGGTGTTTAACTTTTAGCAGAAAGTGGGAATATGTGTGAGATTCAGCAGATGCGCAATAAAGCTCCATAGCTAAGTGCAGCTTTTGACTGAGCACATCTTGGTGGAAGTGGGAAATGTTGGCAGACCAGAAGCTTGGTTTCCTCAGGGTGCTCTTGGCTTCCTCAGGGGGCTCTTTGCCTCTTAGCAAGGAGCATTTTTGACACCCAGGGAGTCCTGTGCAAGTGATGTAAACTTAAAGTCCACTGAGTAATGTGATGTTACCAAAGGAACCACTGATGCACATGGGAGTTGCAGGGATGTGGAGCAGGGGGGAAGAGTTGCCTCTGTTCTGATGCCTCCTGTTCCTCTCTAGGCCTGATGGAGAGAAGAAGGCTTATGTACGACTGGCTCCAGATTATGATGCACTGGATGTGGCCAACAAGGTGAGATGTCTTTGAAACTTGGAAGCTTTTCTTGCAGCTTGTTTCGGGTCTTCTCTACTGATTGTTCTTCCTGAGTTTCCTCGTGAGGTACTTGTGCTTCACGTGTGGTGGCGCTTTCGTGGCCTTGTAGGCAGACAGGATCTGAGTGTTGAGGAGCCACGTTCTCAGTCAGTTCAGTCCTCAAGGTGGTTGGGGTAGGCAGGAGGCAGAGGTGGTACAAAGTGCAGTAGGGGAATGTACAGCACAGGGATCACTGTGGAATAAATCTACAGAGTGAATGTGTAAAGCTCTTGGGCAGGTCTGGGAGGAGGAAGCCTTGGGGGACAGGAGTCCTGGGGAGATGCAGCCATGGCAGTGATGTCTGTGGTGGAGGCTCTGCCTTTCTGCCACCATAACATCTGTTTTAACATCCTTTGCTTCTTTCTAGATTGGAATCATCTAAACTGCATCTGCCGAGGACTGTACAGACTAATAAACGTTGTGACACCACTGAGGGCTCCTGTGTTTTGTGACACCACAGCCCGTGTGAAAAAGAGCACCCAGCAAACTTCTGGGCCTTCATTTCATTAAAGGGGCTCCTCCTTTGCTTTCTGGCAGTGGGTGGGCAGGGCTCACTGCTCCATGAGAGGGTCATGCAGGAGCAGTGGTGCCCTACTCAGAGAGTGTCTGGAATCCTGTCATCATGAGCTGACACCTAATTCTCAAATATCTCTACATTTACCCCCAGACCTCTCACGTCTTGCATTTTCTTGTATGGCGTAATTAGGATGTGTTTGTGATCAGTGTTTTGGGTGTCCTGCGTTGCTTCCTTGTGGAGCAGACCACGGGTGGCCACAACAAAAACATGTCAGTGGCTCTGATGTGACACAAGTGACCTGTCACACCATTTCCCAGTGGATCAGCTCTCTGCTTATGCTGCAGGTTGACTTGGAACCCTCCTGCTAATCCAGCAGCAGAGGCTTTGTGGGTTTTTCTGGCACAATCTCTGCTCCACATGCTTGTAGCGTGTGAGTTTCCCTATTGCTGTTCTTCACAGGGTTCACGGTCCTCAGGGCTGTTTCCAAATGCTGCTGTTGCTACCTCTGCAATGTTTGGCTTTAAGTCTGTAGATGAAACCAGTTTTTAGAGTGTTTGGAGTCAGGAGAACATGGAGCACTGGGTGAGCTGAGAATGGGAGAATTATGGAAAAGTCTTCAGGGTACTTGAGCTTAAGTACATTACTTAGACTTGGTTGAGAAAGATGAGGAAAGCCATGACCAAATACTGATTGGGGTAATTGGGCTCTTGAATGGTGGGACACCGAGTTCCTTCAGACCTCTTGTGGAGGGTGGCAGATTCCTGGGACAGTGGTGGATGGAAAGCAGGAACTGCTCCCAGGTGGAGATTTGTGCTGGGTTGTGTGGCCCTGGCGTGACACCCCTCACTTGGGTTTGGGGGAGGTGGGCAGGAGGTGCTCCCTGCCTGCTGTAAAGGATGAAAAACTGCCTGGAGGGAGGAGTGCTGCTTCCCTGTGTGCTTCCCTGGCACCAACCCAGCCTCTTCCCTATGGATGTCACCCCAAGAAAGATGTGGGAAAATGCCCCTCTTGTAGCAAAGCTGCTGTCATTGCTGGGCAAGGATTTGGTCTGGAGAGCCTGGATGTGCTGCTGCCAGAGGCTGGGAGGGATTCCACATCAGCATGACTTGCAGTCAGCCCCGGCCTTACCTCAGCTCAGCCCAGTGGTGCTGCCCTGGCACTTCACTTGCCTCTTGCTCCTGGCTGGCAGCCTGCCTGATCCACAGCTGCACTGCTGGGGGACGCTCCTGCTGGAAGCCAGGACCGGAGCAGCAGGGAGCTGTGCTCCCTCCTTTGGGAAGCTTTGTCATGTCTGGCCTTCCACCCTGGTTTAAGGACAGGGGAAGTGTGGGCTGGTCTGAAGCTGTGACCTGCTGGGACAGAGCTGTGTGCTTCATGTGGAGAGACAAGGGGAAATGTGTGCAGCAATAGGGGCGAGGGGAAAATTAACATTTGGGCTCAGTTGTGTGGGCTGACTGCAAATGCAGTCATCTAAACTGCAAAAAGGGCACGAGGCTTAAGCTGCAGCTGGAAGACACACACAGCTGTTGGGATGTGCTGCTGACCCTGCCAGGGCTGCTGAGCTCTGCTTTGAGCAAGGAGGGACAAGGCAGTAGGTTTGGAACTGGCAGCAATCCCTGCCCACAGTGTCCCAGCTATCACATCTCTATTCCAGCTGCCATGCCGTTTCCTGGGACTGGTGTCAATACACACCAGGGAGTCCCAGCAGGATCCAGATCCTACAGGGTGTTCCCAGCGCACTGGTGGAAAGGTGATCCTCACTGCCTCCCCTTAATCACCAGCTTATTTCAGCTGCAGTGCCTGTCTCTGCCTGAGCTGGGCAGGTGCTGGGGTGGGTGGGAGAGACAGATTCTGCCCGGAGCAGGGGCTGGCCAGGAGTTCCTTGAAGCTCTGCTGCTAATGCCAATCCGGTGCGATCCCGGAGCTCTCACATCAGCAGGATTTGCCTTTCCGGTGCTACACAGGACTGGCTTGGCCAGTTCTGGCCCCACTCTCCCTGGGAGTTGAATCCCCCTTTTCCTCCCACTGCTCTGGGAGAGCTGCTGGAACCATCCTGGTCCTGTGGAGAGGGCCCAGCATGCTCACAGGGCTGCAGCTGCACTGTGCCAGTGAAGATTACTCTAGGGGGATGCAAGCATGCAGCAATCTTCCAGGAAGAGCCCTTGGCCTCACATGGCTTCTCCACGCCAGCTTGCTCCACTTCACGTGGCTGCTGGGTGAGTCACACAGCCCAGCCAGGCTCCTCACCGCCAGGCTGGTGCCACAAGGCTCAGTACCTCTCCTGGATCACTTCAACTTCCCTGCACAGCCCTGGGTCTCTGGAAGAGCAGAGGAATGAGGGAGAGGAACCCATCCATGCGAGGGATAGAGTTGTGCTGCTCAAGGCTCAGCTGAGTTGGCAGGACCCAGCAGGCTGAGAGGTCCCTCAAACAAAGAACAAAGTGAGCAGCAAGCATGTGCCCTCTCTCTCCCCGAGTACTGCCAGCACTCCTCTGGGAATGGGCCACATCCTTTCCCACAGCCCTGGCGCAGG